GTTACAACAAAGCTTAAACTTGTTCTTCATAATAATTTTAAAAACAATACTAGCTGCCTATTTAATTTTAAAAACAGCAAAAAATATCCACCTCCTTTTCCATTTCTTTTAAGGAGTCTTGAAGTTTAAATCTCCTCAGTGTGATAGATATGCTTGTTTTGATCTGCTTAGCTCTTGGAAGTCCAGGGCTCCGGGCTGCTGGCCCCCTGCTGTCTGGGGTCCCTAGGGACAGCTCTGTCTGCCATTAGGGAATTTTTTCCTGAGAACCCCCTGTAACATTTCGCGAACCCCAGTTTGGGAACCACTGCTCTAGACAGATAGAGAAATCTCTGGCACACAGTAGGGAGAGGCGGTCTCAGGTTGTCCTGACAGAAAGGGGGTCAGTAAATGGACATTGATTTCAAAAGATGTAAGATTTTCTTTTCTCTACGTTTAAAGGCTTTTCTATATGGGAAAGTTATACTGGTCTAAGCCATGAATTTAAACCAATATAGTACTGCTGGTGTAACACCCCAGGTGGACACTCTTATTCGCCTATGAGTGCCTTTTTCAGTTTAGTTTATGTCACTTGGAAAAACTAAAGCAAAAAAAGCTTTTCTTTACTAGAATATATGTATCCACACAGGGGGAAGGGTGTCTATGTAGTGCTGGTAAAGCTATACTGGGAGTTAGGCGCATTTAAAAAATCCCACTAGGTTCTCATCTGCTTCTTTAGGAATCTAAATATCTTTAAAAATTTGGCCCATGGTTAGGAAACCAAGTAAGTGGCTGTTTTTTCAGAGATGCTGAACCACTGCATCCTCCAAAGAAATTAGCTGCTGCTGCAGTGAAGACTGACATGGGGCTATTAATAGCAGTGTTCACCACTCAGAAAACGGAAACCTATCACACCTCCAGTTTACTGAAACCAGGCAAAAGAATTGTCAAACACAGCTTCTGATGGAGAATTTTACTTTACATTAGTAACAAGATGGGGGAAAATCCACTAAAATGTGGTGTCACGTGCGTGGACTAAGGCACTTGTGCTATATCATGATGGAATGAAAAAAAAATGCGTCAAATTCTTCATTGGATTTTGAGCTAGCATTGTTCAGTTTCATCTGTGACTAGTATATTCTGATCTACTGAGCGGCTGGCGGGGGGAGCAGGAGTGTGTGTTTGCATTTCTTTGTCCTGATTTCAGTAATGATGATTGCATTAATTTTAATGAATTGCATATTTTTTTAAAGAAATACGACAGTGGGAACTGGAGGTGTGTGAGGGAAAACAGGCCTTGAACTGGAGCTTCCTTTCTCTGGATCTTTTCTTGTCCTTCTACCTTTCTTTTCCAAATTAGCTCTCCCCGCCCTTCCCCCCAGAAAGACTATATTGTTCAACATGTATAAAAACAATAAAGATTTGAACAGGGCTTTCTTTTGTGGGAAGGGTTAGAGGTGGCCTATGTATGGAGTTCAGTAGAGAACATTTCTTGTAGTTGCAGGTACAAAAGTCCCTTACGTCGCAAAGAAGCATTTCCACTAATGCAGTCAAAATTACATATAAGTCTCAGATATTATTTGACCTTAGCAAGTTTGAACTAACTCGAAACCACAAAAACCAAGGCAGTCAGAAAAAAAGCCACACAACTACATACATCCCTTCACACTCATCTACATCCACTTTCAAATACACATCATCCCTAACAACCGAGTAAATCAACCACAGTCATCAAGGCAGTGGCAGTTTTAGAGTTAGTGGGCAGCTTCATTTTCGACACACACACACACACCCCGGGACCCAGCCAAGAAAAAGAACATTCTCTCTTATCCTCCCCGCCCCATTTTTCATTCTTTTTTTCTTCATCCTCCTCTTATATTATAAGTAATAGGAAGTAAATGAAAATAAAGTGAGGTACCTTGATTGGGGTAGGGGGTTGAGGTGCAGGAGGGGGTATGGGGATTAGGTTCCGGGACGGAGTTTGGCTGCGGGCTCTGGGCTGGGGCAGGGGGTTGGGGTGCAGGAGGGGGTGTGGGAGTGAGGCTCTGGGCTGAAGTTTGGGTGCTGGGTGCAGGCTCCGGGTTGGGGTAGGGGGTTGGGGTGTGTGGGGAGGAGGGGTGCGGATTCTGGTAGGAAGTTCAGGTGTGGGCTTTGGGCTGGGGCGGGGGTTGGGTGCGGGAGAGGTCGGGGGGGCGTCGCTTACCTTGGGCAGCACGGCTCCCAACGTGACAGACACACCTCTCTGGCAGCAGCTCCTAGGTGGGAGGGGCCGGGGGGTCTCTGCGTGCCGCTCCCGCAGTTCCCGGCCAATGGGAGCTCCAGAGACGGCGCTCGGGGCAAGGGCAACATGTGGGGCCTCTCCCTCTTCCTCCCCTCTCTCCCCCCCCAGGCCGCAGGGACATGTCAGCCGCTTCCGGGAGCAGCACAGAGGGAGGGAGGCAGCGCAGGCAGGGAGCCACCTTAGCCCTGCTGCAGGCACGTCTCTGCGTGCCCCTTGGGAGGAGTGGGGCAGCAGATCTCCGTGCACTGCCCCTGCCAGCACATGGAGCTGCCTCCCCCCCGCCAGGGGCACACAGAGACGTACCAGCAGCCAGCCACTTCTGGGAGCAGCATGGGGCCACCAGCCACGGAATGCAGGCAGCCTGCCTGCCTGAGCCCTGCTGCGCTGCCGGCCGGGACTCGGGGGAGGTTGTCAGATGAGATTTGTCCTGCATTTTAGCGGCCCCCCTGTCATTGGGGACCCCGTGCCACCACGCTGTTTGTTTCATGGTAAATCCACCTCTGCATCAAGGGATGCCCGACAGCTTTCACTGTCCCCGTGGCATGACAGAATTCCGTGGGGGGGGGGGGGATTTCTTAGTTTGTATTTGTATTGCAGACCTCCCAACAGTCCTGGGTTTTGTGGGACTGTCCTGCTTTCACCCACAAAATCCCCTGTCCCTGTTGAAGCAGCTTCTGTCCTGCACAACTGGCTGGGCTTGTCTCCCCACTCGGGGCATTTCAACCTGGCCCTGGCAAGAGGGGTTGCAGTGCCACACAGGTTTGACCTGGCCACCTGACGGGGTGGCTGGGCCACATTTGACTGAGTGGCATTGCAATTCTGTGCACTGGGAGCCAGGTCACAATGCCTGGAGCAGAGTCAAGCCCAGCCAGCCCTGCAGGACAGGAGGCACAGGAGCTGCTACTGCTGTGGGGTGAGCATGGGGTGGGCTAGCTCTTCCACTTTCTTCTCCCTCCCCGCCACTTTAGCTACTGGAAATGTTGGCAGATATGGTATTGGCTTTAGGAGCTATAATACCCTACTATTTGTGAGCAGCATTCAGTTGTTGGGTGGTTTGTAAAGTAAGTGTTACAGTTTGTTAGGTCAGGAAGAGCCCCATTAAACTGGTGGTGTTGTCTGGCTTGCCACGAGGGTGTGCAGCCTACTTTCCTCCTTCACCTCCACCCACCTCAGTTTAGGGTGACCAGATGTCCCGATTTTATAGGGACAGTCCTGATATTCTTTAAGGTGCCACCAGACTCCTTGTTGTTTTTGCTAGATAGTTACCAGTTCTGAATTTAGCTTGAGTTTGTGGCTTGGGTTCGTAGCTTGTGGCGGCTAACTGGCCAGGAAAGCCGGGCACAAGGACGAGCTGGGTCTCTGTTGGGCATGCACCGATGCCCTTCCATGTTGGCAGCAGAATGTTACCCTCCAAAGTCTTCCATCTCACCCATCCTTTTTGTAGGCTTTAGTTTGAATCAAGAGTCTATAGGTCTTGCTGTGTCACGCTGCCTCTGGGTTTGGTGTGATTGATCACCCGTCAATTGCAGATGTGACTTTCAGCCTTGGACCTGGCTTTGATCTTCCTTCTATTATACCTTTGTTCTTTTCTTTTTAGGGTGGACTCTTCTTACTTTGTTAGGGCTCTTGTCTGCATCTTCAGCCGTTGGTGTTTGAATTCTGTTTCATCAGGACAGGCTGGCGCTGGAGGTTGATTCCATCATCCATACATACCTCATTCACACATTTAAACTAAACTAATAAGATTACAGCAGGGTTTTGCAAAAATGAAGGTTGCAGCAAGCTTACAAAATGGAGTAAGCGTTGTAAAATGGAGTTTGAATTACAATATGGCAAGCAGTGAACAGAAGTTACAATATAGACAAGTGTAATGAATGGCAAACAGTGAACAGAAGTTACAATGTAGGCAAGTGTAATGAATGGTGAACAGAAGTTACAATACTGAAACAGTGCAAGTAAGCAGGAATTGGATTGATAGTGAAACTTACAAAGGCAGCTGGCTGAGCAGGTATGGTTCTTAACAAGCATCTTAATGGTCAATTAGCCAGTTATTGGGGTAACCGGTTTTATGAATGAATATTGTTTCATTCATAAAACTTTACTTATGAAGTTACATTAATAAAGTGAACAATTAAAAACAATTTCATTCATCAGTTTTACACATTGGGAGGCTGGGTAGCACCATGGTTCTGCCAACTCGCTGCCCTTTTTCTGTTCACTTGCTCATGGTGGTGAGCAGTGGCAATGCAGGGACTGCACTCCACAGGAAACTCAGAACCACAATCGATTCTAGCTGATCCTAACATGGCTGCACAGGAAGGAGGACAAGAACCATTATTTCTCCCTTTTCCTCTAGGTGCCCATGTTAGGACTAATGATCACCTGGTGTTAATATGTCTTTAAAAGTTCTTAAGTTGCATTTTGACAATCAACTTTTATTAGGAAAAATCTAAACTGACGAGCTGTTCCTGCTTTTTTCCATCTGTAGGTTATGTTTCTTTGCGTAACACGGAAAAAGGCTCTCGGATGATTGAAGCAATGGATGAGGTCTTTTCAGAGCAAGGCATGAAGTGGCATATAGGGGATTTGTTTACTAAAGTAAGTATGCAACAAAACTGCATAAAGAGTATGTTCAAGGTGACTTGCAAAGGAAAACTAATTGGGTGTCTGCTCTTTATTGCGTCTTTGCAATGTGTGAAGATAGGCTATAGGGTAGGTATTTGGGTGTTTTAAAGTTTTTTCTCCTTTTTCACTTCAGAAATTTGGATTTTGTTTACACTGAAGGGCAAAATTCACTCTTGTTCTGAGGACCAGCATAAGTTCTGTGCAGTACTCACATCTTTAAAATAGCGCTCCAGTGGTATTTAAGGTTTCAGAGTAGCAGCTGTGTTAGTCTGTAGCCGCAAAAAGAACAGGAGTACTTGTGGCACCTTAGAGACTAACAAATTCATTTGAGCATAAGCTTTCGTGGGCTACAGCCCACTTCTTCGGATGCATAGAATGGAACACACAGAAAGAAGATATTTATACATACAGAGAACATGAAAAGGTGGAAGTAACCATGCCAACTGTAAGAGGCCAATCAATTGAGATGAGCTATCATCAGCAGGAGGAAAAAAACCTTTGAAGTGATAATCGAGATGACCCATAGAAGGTGTGAGGAGAACTTAACATGGGGAAATAGATTCAATTAGTGTAATGACCCAACCATTCCCAGTCTCTGTTTAAACCGAAATTAATTGTATCTAATTTGCATATTAATTCAAGTTCAGCAGTCTCTCTTTGGAGTCTGTTTTTGAAGTTTTTTTGTTGCAAAATTGCCTCCTTCAAGTCTGTCACTGAGTGGTTAGAGGGGTTGAAGTGTTCTACCACTGGTTTTTGAACGTTATGATTCCTGATGTCAGTTTTATGTCCATTTATTCTTTTGCGTAGAGATTGTCCGGTTTGGCCAATGTATATGGCAGAGGGGCATTGCTGGCACAATGGTATTTAAGTGATACATACACCTTGTGCTGTCATTCTGCACAGGGGTGAATTTCACCCATATGCAGCTGATAAAATAGTGGAATTGTAATATCTCAAGAAACAAGAGATTGACAACCAAGCAGCTGGAGAGGAGAGGGGATTTTTAATCCGATTGTTTTAAAACTCTTTGAGTAACGGCTTATTTACCATCAACACCTGAGACATACTTGGAAGAAAGGATGGTATGATTAGAGTCACCACAACTGCCCAGTTTGAGAAAGCTCCCAATATGGGCCTGATACCTCCAGCAAAATCAGGGAAAACTAAACTTAGCATTCCTGATATTTACAAGGCAAAAGCCCCAAATGTTAAAAAATAAGACACGTTCAGGTTTTCTTTATATAAATAAGCAACTATAACAACAACAAAATGGAACAACCTCAGTATTTTAAATTTCCTTTAGTGGTCACCCTTAATTACTGTGTATGTTGGGCCAGATCCTCAGAGCTACACCAGTTTACAAGAGCTGAAAATTTGGTACATTAAATACATCTAAAGTAACGAAGTTAATAGAGAGCATATACTCTACATGCACATGTGCTATTATTACTGAGTTGATGCAAGTGGCTTTCAAACAAAAAAATAACATCATTTTCACTGTACACACACAAATCAATGAAAAAATATTTCCATTGATGATCATCAAAATGTAGAGGTAGGCAAAGTAAGAAAAATGCTCCTTGAGAAGTCAGAAATCCAGTGATTTAGACTTTTGAATCTGGCTTGTTACAAATGGATTAGCAAATGAATAGTAAAAACAGGTCTGATTTGTTGATCTAAAGATATTTACCTTTTGATATTGACAATTTGTGTTTTTATATACTGTTAAAGTTTAACTTTTTGAATTTCAACATCTGTTTTCATTAAATAATTGTCTGATTGCTCCCGATAATTTCACACCACTGTGAAAATTTAAATTGATAAAATCTTTTAAAAATAAACATTTGATATTAGCCATTGAAATGATAAAAAAAAATAAAAATTGAATTCTGACAAGGCTAGCAATAAGATACTAAGAAAAGGTCTGCAAAATAAAAAACAATAAAATAATGTACAGGACTGAAAACAAGCTGATTAAAATCATAGGATGCAGGATGGGAGTGGAATACATGGGGGTGGGGGATGCCCAGCCAAGGGCTGGGGTGAGTTGATTTTCATACACACTCACTAGGGAAATAGTTGACATTAGGTCAGAGCCCAATACTTTTCACTGTGGAGGCTTGTGTTCAGTTAGGTGACAAGTGGGCAGAAGCCAGTTCATTCCTCCCTGTGGTTAAAAAACTACAGCTAGAAGGGCTCAGTGAACACTGCAGAGTTCACCTCAGAGAGTTTCCATTTAATGCTCCCTTAAGGAGGAAGGGATTAGATGAGTCTCTGGCAGAGGAAACAGCTTTTAACCCCTCACCAATCCAAAGGGAAAGGAACCATTAAACCTTCGGAGGGGCCTCTCCATGGTGTTGTTGAGTCTTGCCAACTCGCTAGACAGGAAGAAGCCACACTGTCACTGGCTGCTCCTTCCATGCAGTTCCCCCTCCCCCAGATGGGAGTGCAGTAACAGGTGCTTTGCCTCAAGTAGAGCTTTTGCTTCTTGTTCAGTTGTAGATGAAGATTTAGACAAGACACAAATGCTCCAGGACCCAAAGATGCATGGTCTGCCTTAGGGCTCAGCCTACATTCTTCCGCCCACCCCCCTCAGCCCTCAGATTATGTGTGTAGTAGCATCATTCACCAGTGAAGGTTTGGATTATGTTTTTATTTATTTTTTGATTAAGGTTTTATTTTTCAGATCAATAACAACCTGGTGCAGGAAACCTTTAGTATCCATGGATGCCCTGTGAAAGAGACAATAGTCGTGGAATCAACTCTGACCAAAGCTGTATACCTTGCACCGTAACTGGTTGATCAGTGGAAGACTCACTGCCTTTTGAATTGCGCAAAATACAGACAGTGAATAAAAATAAAATAAATACAGATAATAAAGTTTAAATAGTCACCTTCTTCCAAATTATGGTGAAATTCTTAGGATGTTCCTTTTAACTAACCAGCTTTATTACTGCATTTTAACAGCTATTTTCAACAGCATGTTTTTTTCAACAAATAGTCCCATTTTTAGAGAGCACTTCTTTACAGGATCTTTGAAAAAACCCACTTTAGGCTCTTCTATTTGCCTACATTTATAAATAAAGTCAACCAGTACAAAAAGTTTTATGTTAAGAAATCACTGGCTTCTTTTCCAGTTCTCTAGAGGGCATTTTCTCTTTCCCTGTACTACTTCTTAAAACTCCACCATAAAATCTACCCTAACATCCAACAAATCTCTTACAACAGCTTAGTCCTAAGTATTAGCCTGGGGAGTCTGTTCTACTAGCAGCAGAGTGACAGAGTTGTTTGAATGTTACCAATAATATGTCCAGTAATCTCAAGTGTGTGGTGATGCACATCATGCATCTGAAGAGAATAATGGGCCCAATCATAGGGTTACCATATTTTGTGCCTCCAAATGGAGGACACTCCCCGGGGCCCTGGCCCCGCCCCCAGCCCCGCCCACGCCCCAACTCCGCCCCCTCCCAAAGTCTCCGCCCCCTCCCCTGCTTCCCGCGAACATTTAATTCGCGGGAAGCCTGAAGCAGGTAAGGGGGGCGGG